CTATGCATAGAAATTTTACAGACAAGCACTAAATTCCAATGCTATTAACAGCAGAAGCTTGCTTTTACGGCGTAGGCTTTCCTTATATTCAAACCCCAAAAAACAATACTAATGGTTCCTGGATTGATAGTCATTCTTGTTTCTGTCTTAGATTCAGTTGAACTTCTGAATTGATACAAGAAAAAGTTATATAATATTTCAATGATATAACAGAGTTTAAGTCACTAGCATTCCTTGAAAATAAGCAACAGACCGAATTCAAAGACATCACCTTCCAATCACAAGATTTTCCATGAACAATCCTTAACCACAAATACACATCTAATTGTCCCCTCAAAAAGTAATGTATAACAAATAAATCGCTTGGAACAACCTTTGGCAGCAGATAGCATGATGAATTCGTGGAAGCCAAAGCGTATATTAGAGGCATTAAACCAAGTAGAACCTGCAAACAATACATTGAATAAACAGCATAAAGAATAGCAGATTTCAGGAGCTTCACTCCTTAAGAATAATGATGAATGCAATTTGTAAATAATTAATATAACAAAAGAATTTAATGACAGCTCACATTTTCGGTAATGATGCTCTTGAGTTTCCCTAGCTCGGCAATGAGTACCCTCTCTTCCATCGGAAGGGAATCTCTTTTGTTTCCTTTCACTCCTCTCCTTTAGCCCGTCTTCCGTTAGTGGCGGGGACTGTCAGGATAACTGCTAATACGAGAGTTCCCACCAATACAGCTACCTCGCTTATGGATTTCTGCTTCGGTAGCTTGCTTAGTTCTTCCAAGGATCTTTCTTTTTGCGCTGCCTCTGCTACTTCTGCTACAGTTTCGGAAACTAACTTAGAAGCCTGCTCACTCGTACTACTTCCTGCGCTATTTTGAATGGTCTTTTTGAGTGCTTCTTTTGCATGAAGCAGGCATTCTGTATGATTGCTTTTTGATTATCTGTCATTTTCTAGAGTACAAAAAATTGATCCTTAAGGCAGAGAGTAAACTCTGCAAAAATTCTCCATCCTGGAAGAAATTTGTAGTTGTCATGTAACGCTAGAAAGAGAGACAGAGAATTTCTTCTGAGATTAAGCTGCGACTTCCTGCATTTTCAATAGAATGGTAGATAAGAAGCAAATTAACAATCATCAAATCTAAAGTTAAAAGACAAAAGGTGGCACATACCAGTTACACCCTCCAGCAGAAAAAACATCAGAAACCAATCCGTCACCTAAATCTGAAAACTTAATTCTCCAATAAAATTTACAATTGTCAGGACTGTTTATATAGACATTTTCTCCTTTAGCTTCCCCTTTTTTAACAAAAACCTCAACCCCAAAAACACAGCAATTATTGATAAGACAGCCATTTGAAGGATCGGTGAATGTACTAAGTGGAAGTAGCTGCGGAAAACCACTCTCTCTTTGTAGTGCATGAAAACGCTGAACTCTACCAACTATAATTTAAAAGACTGGTCAAACCTCAGACACTATTATGGAAGTGTTCAGAATAACAGTTGATGGGTAAGATATAAGATACATTTAATTGTAATATCTTATCTCGAAAATTGGTCCAGAATAATTTTTTTTATTTATAAAAATTATATAAATAATTAATGTAATTTTATTTCAATCTCATCTTATTAAATTTTGAGGAAAAAATAGATTAGAAACAAAATTGAAAACAATTTTGGAAAAAGGGACGAAATTTTGAATATGGGGTGTGTTTTTAAAAGAAAAATTGAAAACATAGAGCTAAACTGCAAAAAAAAAAAAATGTTTGATCACGTGGGACAGCCCAGTCAGCAACTCGAGCAAACCAGAGCATACCGTGTGGCAGGGAGGCTGACATCGGCTCTATGCGGGAGGCCATACGGGCGATCCGCATGCCTAGACAATCCGATGGCCTAGATCGCATCTCAAGCACACGAATGGCCCAGATGCATTCCTTCTTTAAACATGATTGGACAGACGAGATTGATCGCGATGGACGATCCAGATTCATCCACGCAATCAACCTAAACGGAAAATCATTGAACAACTCTCCTCGCTCCATGTGTCCCCGAACGGACGGCCCAAATCGACACAGAATGAATATTTAAACATCGCATCACAAGAGAACTTAACCCTAGCTGCCCAACCCTCGCCGGAGAAGGAGGCCGATCCCCGACAGCCGCCGCCGCACAGGAGCTACCACCGCCACACAAGAGCTACCACTGACCGCCAAAAAGTTAAAATTTTCTCCTCTACGCTGGGAATTCAATTCTGAGCCTCCCTATGGCAATATTGGAGCAAAAAAAACGGCGGGTGAGGCAGAAATCGCAAGCAAAATTCGGCAGAGCCGTTGCGGCCAAAACCCTAAACCCTCTCCGATGACCCCCTTCTCGTTTTCTGTTTTACACAATTTTTCGATCACTGTGTTCACCATTCTTTTCTGTGCAGCTTAGCTGAAGAAGAAACCCCAGTCGCGAAGGAGAACCGACGGAATTGCCGCACCAGGAAACCCCTTCTGCCGGTAGGTTCTTTTTTTTTTTATTTTCTGGCCAACCAAGGCCTTATAATGTGTTTTCTGTAAGAATACGTGTAAAACCGGTCAGAACCCTAAAATTAGGCGGAAAGAGTTTTCAACACCGATTTTGGGTTTTGTATGATATTTTTATGTACATGACGAGTATTTTGATTTCCGCAAAAAAAAATTAGGAAACCCATGACCCGTTAGGAGACGTAATAGATAGTACGACGTTTCAAAATACCGATTCGGATAAAAATATCTTACTGTATTCCCTGTTACGGTAAATCGAGACTTAATAATCAATAATGCTGTACTTGTGAAAAATTAGAAAAAAGCTAAAAATAATTACAGGTACTAGTAAAGCCGAAATCGTTCAGTTTATATTTGTCCTAGTTTGTTTGTGTTGCCTATTCATTTTCGCTATGTGCCTTAATTATTATTTTTAATTATTTTCTCGTTTATTGATTGTCTAATCATTACTTTCTTGATCCTATTAACTGATTGAAAATAAAGATTCTGAGTACGTTTCTTAACTATTAAGGTATAAAATTGTATTGTTTGCATAAATATCGTTTAATTATTTTATAAATATAAAATGAGATATTGGTATGCGCTTAGTGGTTATTTTGTTGATGAGGATTTTTATATGAAAAGCTTACCGGGTATCTTAGGAAATGACGAACGGCTCCAGTACATAAAGAACCATACCATGAACGTTATCTCAGTCGGACGAGACTGTGAAGTTCCATATCAAAAGAGTTTAGGAGATGTGATTAACCCTCATACCGGACGGAATATCAAGGTGATTGAATATTTGGTACCCATTACCAGACGGAGTATCGAGACGATGGAATGTTTGGCGCCCATTACCGGATAAGGTATGGGGACGACCGGTTAATTGATAAATCTAAATATTGGGTTTATGTGTGGAG